TCAAGGAGTGAAACCATGCTGGAGCAACATGTGGAATGTATGTCCTGGGAGAGTTGTGGCACCTGGTGCCTGTGGGACCACAGCTCTCCATCTTTCTAGAGATCATTTCATCCCCTGAAGAAAACCGTTTTCTTTGAGTTTTGAGATTTTTTTCCTGAAGAGCTGCAGGCGGAACATAGTTGGAGATGGAGCTTTGTTCCATGGCCAGTTTCCTTGCTGAGCTCTGCTCTGTTTGCCTAGGTAAATCCTGTGGGCATGAGGAGCAATGAGCTTCTCCACTCACTGCTGCTGTGCTGGCATCCCTGTCACTGGTGGTGGGTGTTTTAGGTAGGATGAGACCTCATCCTTATCACATGGAGAAAAACACCAAGGCAAGGGGGCAGGGGACACAGGGCACTGTCTGAGGGGTGACCATAGGGCAAGCAAGACGAGAGCAGGAGCATGGAGAGATGTGGCAAATGGCACCATGTGTGGGGACATTGGGGATGAGAAGGACACTCCAGTGTGGGGGTGGGACTCAGACATCAGTAGATGGGGTCACAGAGCTAGTCCTCATATCACTAGAAGGTGGTCTTGGGTGACAGGGGACTGTTTCAGGTGACAAGGAATTGGTCTTAGGTGATCAGAAGATGGCCTCAGATGTTTGGGAGGTGATCTTAGTTGATCAGGAGGTGGTTTTGGGGACCAGGAAAATGTTTTGAGTGGCCAAGAGGGCCCCATACTGACTGTGGTGCAGGCTTAACTGGTGAAGGTCAGTGCCCAGATGTCCTTGCTGCAGGGACCTGCTGTAGGCACCTGGGGACACAGGGGTGGGGCTGCACAGGCTCCCTAGTAGAGGACATCGCATGAGCCCTGGTCCTGTGGATCCCTGTCAGGGGACATCATGTGTGTCCTCACCCTGGGGTGTGAGGTGCAGTAGCCTTCTCCAAGGATGGGGACATTGAGCACCCATGGCTAGTAGGAACAAAGACCAAGGTCTGGTGCAGCTGGGGGGTGGTGAGTGCTCTCTCTGTCCTGGACTGTAACAAATCCTCTTCTTCCTCCACAGCCTTGCCAGCAGCTGCCTCACCAGGATGAAGGGGACAGCCAGCATCAACTCCACTGGCCGCAGCCACTACCAGTCTGCCATCCCAGTGCCCCGTGCCATGGCCCATGGCAAACTGCACACCACAGCCCCCCTGAGCACCCCGGGGTCCCCAGTCCTCCACAGGGCTCCATCCCCTCGGCCAGGGAAGGTGCCATCACCCGGTCCCAAGGCTCTCAAGCCCAAAGCCACTGGAAAAGCTGCTGGCCATGAGCCAGCCAAGGGCAGGGAGGGAAGCCCCAGTGCCTCCACTCATGGCGGGCAGAAAGCCCTGTCAAGACCCCTGGTGTCCCCTGGGAAATTGCCAGAGGCAATGGACAGTGGGAGGAGAGGGGCAGGCAGGATGGGGGAGCCCACGGAGCTGCACAACGCTCCCCTAGCACAGGGCAGGGGCGGGGGAAGGCTGGGAGGGGCCCCTGGGAAGGGCAGTGGAATAGCCACAGCAGGGACAGGGGATGAGTCTCATGGTGGCTCACAGAGGAGGGGCCCTGTATTCGGGTCAGGGGCCATCACTTTCTCCTCAGGGCCCCCACACAGCCGCCCCATCACTGCCACTGTGGCACCCTTCCAGTACCGGTGAGTCCCTGGGGATGGGGGAACATGGGGCTGGGGGTGCCTGGGGACATGGGGACATGGGTTGTGGGGGGCATGGGAACAGGGGGAGGCAGGCAGGCCCAGGAGGGGTGGCCATGGGAGATGGTGGGGTTGGTTCAGGGGTCTCTGTACCAAAAGGAAGGTTCCCACTGGATTTGGGATGCTGGGGTTCCTAAGGCACCCATGGGAGCTGATGTCGGGCAGGGGATGGACTCATTGAGGAATTGGGTGCCCTGGGACCCCTTGCCATGGCACCAGTGTCCCCAGACCATGGCAGAGCCTATGGCTCCACGTTCTCATCTCCTGAGGGTCCCCAGCCAGTTGCCCCTGATCACCCACCCTCACCCCTCTCTGCCCGCAGGCTGCAGGAGGACCAGGAGCATGAGAGTGCCACGTCCCCGGGTGATGAGTGCTCTGGTCCTGAGAAGGGATCTGACCCTGACCCCAAGCCCAGAGGCCTGAGTGAGTCCAGAGGGGTTGGTCAGGAACGGGTGTGTCCTGCTGGGGGACTGCCGTGACAGTGCCAGGGGACAGAGGCTCGTGCTGGAACAGGAGCCAGGGCTGGAGGTCAGGGGGGCGGTGGGGGGAACCCTCACACTGGAGGTGCTCCAACTCCCCTGGGAAAGGCTCGTCTGCAGTTTCTGCATCAGGTGACCTCCGTGGACAAAACCCTACACTGTGAGAAACACAGGGGACTGAACCCTCTGGGGACGGCACCCACATCACCCGGGCTGCCTCCTTTCCCTCCTCTTCCCAGTTTCCCAGCGAGCTCCAGGAATGACCCATTTCCAAGGAGCCGGCACAGAGGGACCGCTGGGTCCCCACACCCACCACCAGGTCGCCCCCTTTCTCAAGAGCTGAATACAAGCTCCCCGCTGCAGTGCTGAGGCCACCCCAGTCCCCTCTGGCGCTTGCTTTGGGGAGAGATTTTGGAGAGGCGGCTCCAGGGAGGATGCTGGGGCGGCGGTTGCCAGGGCAGCGGCAGCCGAGGATGGCGGGATGCTCCAGAGATGTGCAGGGAAGGGGAAAAAGAGAGTCAGGAGCTTCACCGGGTGATTTGAAGGGACAGAAGTCGGTCAGATCCATTGTGGCTCCTGACAGAGCCCGACTTTGACCTGGAGTCCCAGCACCTCAGTCAGAGAATAATCAGCGCTGATGCCCGATTTGGAAAGTGCTGAAGCCAGCAGCAAGCGGGAGGATGTTCCAGGAGGGAGCAGGAGGGAGCGAGCGGGGCTGGCATGTGCCCAGTGCAGCTGCCCTGCTCCTCGGGGAGGTTTTGGGATAAAGCCGAGCGGGTTCGGCACCGGGGAAGGAGCCGGATCCTTTCCCTCACTCCATGCCTGTTCCAGCTTCCCCGGCCCACGGCACCTCCCACGGCTCTGCTGGGCCGAGCCAGAGGGAACAGGGGACATTGGGAGACCCCAAGAATCACCTCACCAGCCCCAAAAGGACACTACACCAGCAGATTTGTCCCGTACAGCGGGGCCTGCACCCAGGCAACAGCCCTCCCTGTGGCTTAGGGGTGCAGGTTGTGCACCCATCCTGCCCCAGCAGCACCTCTTAGTTGCAAACCACCCCCCACCCCCCCTTTTTTTTTGGTATCCTTTATTGTCCCATCCAGGCGGAGTTATGCGGGACTCTTCAGCACTACCACGGGCTGAACCCCGGATCACTGGCCTGGGGGTGGGCTGGGGGGCTCGCACCATCCCCAGTCCTCCCGTCCTTATCTCGGCAGCAGTGATGGGCTCTAATGCAATATTTCCCGGCGGTTGCCATGGCAGCCCGCGTGAGGTCACCAAATAGACTTAATTCAGCCCTCCCGAGGGACGGGTAATTAATGAAAAATGATGATAACCAGATCCCACTCCCCGTCTTCACCCCCCCCGCCCTTAATTCCCTAGGATCAGTGGAGAGGCCTCGCTGGGTTTGGGGGCCACAGTGTCCCTCGAGGGATTCCTGGGGCCACCCTGGGCCCTTGATGCAGAATTTGGGGAGAAATGGGGATGCTTTGGCCCCCCTGGGAATGGGCGCGCAGTGTCTAGGAGGGTGTGGGGTCCATGGCGGGCGGGACAGGGGGTGCTTCAAAGCAGGGTGCTGGGGCGTGGGACCTCTGCATGGCTTCATGCACTTCCCGCCCAGCACCCAACACGGCCCTGCCTGCGAGGGGCTGCGGAACGGGGCCGGTAGGCCGTGGGGGTCGCGGGGGCCATTGCCGGCTGCCCGGCAGTTTCACCCTCGCCGCTATCAGAGGTCCTGTGCCATGGCACGGTCCCGCCCGGAGCGCTGTCCCCGCGCTCCCGCTCGGTCCCTCCGCCCCTCCAGCTCCGCCGCGCGCGCCCCCGCCCCGCCCCGCCCCGCCCCGCCCCGCGGCGCGCGCCCCCTCCCCTCCCTGCCCTCCGCGGGCGCGCGCGCTGCGCCCCGCCCCCGGCCCGCGCCGGAGGAGGGCGGGCCCTTTTTGTTCGCCCCTGACATTCCGCTGGTTCGCTGTGTCCTGCCGGCGGCGGAGCGGCGAGGTGGGGCCGTGCCGCTCGCCCCCCCCTCCCCCCGCCCCAACTCCCCGCCCGCGCCATCCCCTCCCCTCCCCGCTCCGCCCCGGCCGGTGGGACGGGCGCTGACGCCGCCTCTCCCTCTGTCTCGCCCGGTGTGTCCTCGGTGCCGCAGCAACAGCAGCAGTGCCCGGCGGGTTAAATGGTTGCAGCGCGGGGATGCTGGGGAGCAACCTCAAGAGCCTTCCCGACGTGGAGCTGGGCGAGGAGGAGCGCGGCTTTCGGCGGGGCCCCGACGGCGGCACCGTGATGCCGAAGCGGGCGAAGGCGGCGGCTGCGGCCGCGGGCCCGCGGGGCGCGGAGCTGCGCGTCTTCAAGGCGAGCAGCGCGGAGGGGCGGCTGCCGGCCGGCACCAACCTGCGCAAGCAGAAGTCGCTCACCAACCTCGCCTTCCTCACCGACGCCGAGAAGAAGCGGCAGCTCTATGAGCCTCGCTGGAGCGACGATATGGCCAAAGCGGCAGCGCCGGGGACGGCGGCGGCGGGGGGCGGCGGGCGCGGCGGCCCCCGCGGGCGGGACGCGCCCGCCATGTCGCGGAGTCTGTCCCGCTCCGAGCACTCGCTGCTGTCGCCGCGCCCCGCCGGCCCCGCCAAGCCGCCGCCCGCCGGGAAGCCGAGCCGCATCCCCCGCGGGCCCTACGCCGAGGTGAAGCCCCTCAGCAAGGCCCCCGAGGCGGGCGGCGGCGGCAAGTGCGACGACGAGCTGCTGGGAGGGAAGGGGCCGGCGGTGGCGGCGGGCACCGAGGAGAAGCCGTACCTGAAGGTGGACCCCGAGCTGGTGGTGACGGTGCTGGGCGACCTGGAGCAGCTCCTCTTCAGCCAAATGCTGGGTGAGTGCGGCCGGCGCGGCCCCCGGGCCCGACGTCGGGATGGGAATGGCCAGAGGTGGCAGCTGTAGGCATGTGGGCTCCTGACACTCCGTGAGGACCCGCTGGGGCCACCTCGGTATCTTGAAGCGAAGGGAGGCTGAGGGGAAAGGAGTCATCAGCCTCCGCGTCCTCAGTCACAATCACAGAATGGTTTGGGTTGGAAGAGACATCAGAGCTCATCCTTATCCACTCCCTGCCATGGGGAAGGGCATTTTCCACTCGCCCTGATTGTTCCTAGCCCTGTCCAACCCGGCCTTGGCCACTGCTAAGGCATCAGGAAGCCACAGCTGCTCTGAGAAACCTGTGCCAGAGTCTTCCCACTCTCACAGGGAAAATTCCTTCCCAATGTCTCATTTACCCCTGCCCTCTGTCAGCGGTCCTAAAGCCCCCCTCCAGCTCTCCTGGAGCCCCCTTAGGCACTGAAAAGGGCTTTAATGTCTCCCCAGAGCTTTCTTTAGGCTGAACACCCCCAGCTCTCCCAGCCTGGCTCCAGAGCAGAGGAGCTCCAGCCCTCAGCGCATCTCCAAGGCATGCTTGAGGGAAGGCGCTGTCACCTGCCTCTTGCCTTGGAGGAAGGGCAGTTCCTCCTCACAAGGAGCAGTGGCAGGTGGTGGTGGAGCTTGTTCCCTCCCACGTGTCTTGTTGGCCATCCCTTGTCTCTACACCCACCCTACACGATGGAGGCTGCACAGCTGGGTGCCACAGCTGCTCCCCACCATCAGCGTGGCTCGCCCTGGGGGTGACCTTGGGAAGCTGCTGGTGGAGGTGCCGTGTGAGGGGGTCCCTGCTGTTGTTCCATGTTGGGCAGATCCAGAGCTTCACTGAGGTCTGGGGCTCTGGAAGAGGAGGGTTCTCCAAGGATGCTGCTGCAGGGTTTGCGTGAGCCAGTTTCAGGCTGTGGCTGCCTGCGCTTTGCTATCCCTGTGGGTTTGATCCCCGAGCTTGTTGTGTTCATTTTGTGTATAGTGAGTTTCCATGAGAACAACAAGCACTGGCCCAGTGCTGGCTGTGCCCCGGACCTCGGAACCCACTGCCACGTTGCGGGCTGCAGCGTTGGGTCTCAGTACAGGTGAACCCAGCCCTTGCTATTCTCTCGTTCTGTGTGCTGATCTCTAGGAATTGTGGCTGCCTCGGCAGCCCTCTGCTTCCCGCTGACGCCCTGTCTTCCTTGTATCCCAACCAGCAGTTCCTGCGGTCTTGGCTAGGCAATGACTGTGGGGGCTTGTGACTGAAGAGCTGTGTTTGATCTGGCAAACTGGCATTAGAAGGTGGGAAGGAGCCCTGCACAGACATCATGGTGCTCGTAGTGCTCAAGCTGGCCATCTGTAAAGCCCTGGTACTTAGTGGTGGTGGTGGTGGAGGAGCAGCAGTACAGTCAGGACTGCTGTGTCCAGTCCCTTCAAGTTCCCTGCCTGGGACCTCTTTTTAGGGGACCAGGAGCTTCTCTGGCACTTGAGCTGGCTTGAGATGCCTTGTCTTTGCTGTGTGATGAAGAGAAAGGGGAGAGTTTGCCCTGGCTGGAGGCTGGGAGAGGTGGTTTGGAGATGGGAGGTGAGCTGGAGCATGTGCTGGAGCCAGGCACCTGGAAAACCACACTTGCCCAGTCTGCTTCCCTGTGTACCCCTAGCTGTTCCAGGAGCCTTTGGGGTGTCACAGCCCCAGCTCCAGCAGGGCTCTGGCACAGCGTGCACCAGTGTGTGCTGGCACACAGGCATGGAGCCCCCAGACCATTGCTCTTGGCCCCCTGGCCATGTCCAGCCGTGGAGGCAGCAGCAGTGTCCTCCTTGACAGGGTCTGCCCTGATGCTGGGGCATCCCAGGGCTTGCAAGTGGAAGGCCACAGAGTGAGCTTGAGGCCTGGGCAGGCAGACCGTGGGGATGGGGAGGTGGGATGCAGGAGGTCAGCCTGGGTGCAGGGGCTCAGGCTGCCCCAGTGGTCCCACAGCTGGGTTTAGACATCCATCCTCAGGACTAGTGCCACGGTAGCACCAGATGCCATGGGAGCAGGGCAAGATTGCATGAGGATTTGTCACTTACGGGACTAACAGACTGCCACTCACTGATGTTGGGATGCCTGGGGGAATCTTAGTGTCTCCCCATGATGCTCTGCTCTTAGGTGGGAGTTTCCTCAGCATCCCCAAGAGAAATCCTTGCAGGAATGGCCCAAGTGGAAGTGACTCCCAGTTTGTGGTACTCTGGAGTATCAGAGATCCAAGACAGGATCTTGTGCACACTCTGAGGAAGATCATGGTTGTGGAAGTGCCCCCAGCAACTGGTTTGGTTTCTGGGGTGTTGCCAAGCCTCCACCTGCATCAGTCAGGGCTGACTTTGACCTTGGGAGGTATTGAACATCTCTTTGGACTGCACTTAGCATCTGAAGACTTGGTCAGCTGGTCTGTGAGGCCCAAACTCTGCCAGATCTGTCCTCTGTGTATTGCCAATAATTTTCCAAGACACATGGACTGGCAGGCTTCCTGTGGGGGGCATCGAGGACTGTGTCCAGAGTTGGATGAGGGGAACGGCTGGGGTGGACAGAGCAGGAGCTTCACCCTGCTGAAACTTCCCTTCCGTTCCATGGGTTATACTTCCCATGTTCATGGGATTTGTGATGTTGAATCACACGTACTTACCCAAGCCAGCCGTGACCTGGCACATCCATGGCAGCCTGTGTGGTGGGGATGCCGCCAGGAACCCTGGGATGTGGTGAGGAAGGAGCAGTGTGACGGTGATGCTGGCACAACCACAACTTGAGGGTGTGTAGACACATGCTGAGCCTCCAGACCCCTTCGCTTGCAATCTAGGCAGGTGGAATCTTCCCCAGTGGTGATGGTACCTTCCACAACCTGGCTTCCCCAGAAAGAGGTGGTTCCTGTGCTGGAGATGGACCCAGAAGGAATGGGGTCCCAGGAGAGCTGGATTCAGGACAGTGGGCTTCACACCCTGCTAGGGTTGGGGAGGAGAGCAGCTTTCTCCTGGTTGCTACAGGAGATATTTGGGAGGGAGGGAAGGAAGATCGCTGTTTTCATCAATCCCTTTGGCAAGTGAAACATCAGCCTGAGCTGTTTGGCAATGTCTGCTGAAGGACGCTCTGTCCAGAGTGGCACGGAAAGACCCGCAAGCTTGGTTTGTGCTGGGAAGAGAGAGGCAGAAATTGTGGGGACTTCCAGCCTCTGCAGATATGTTTGTCCATGAACTGCTGATCCGTGTTGAGAAGCCTGTGCACCTTCTGAGCTCCTGACCCTGCCAGCCACAGTGGCTTCCAGAGCCTTGTGTGTCTTTGGTCTCCACACCTGAATTCTCATCTCTACCTCATGCTTCTGCCAGAAGCATTCCCAAGCCTCACTTGGCCAAAAATACAATTTATTGAGTAATGGCCATGTGTTACCTCTCATTCAGTCACTGCCGCTGCCTCATCTGTTTGATGGCACTGAAGCCTTTGTAGCTGAACCATGTTTAAAGAGCAGCCTGCGCAAGCCGGGAGAGGTCATGGGCACGCAGCAACCACATGTGCTTTGTAGAGGCTATTTCCATCATCCAAATTATACATTTCACATCAACCAAAGACTGAGGCTTCTCATCAAAGCTGGCTGGCAAGTGGGGTTGCTAATTACGCCAGTGCCCAACCACAGCATGAAGGGGATGGAGGGCACGTGACCAGCTTGTTGGAAGAGCTGGTTGTGCAGAGCTCCCCATGCCCATGTCTGCATGAGATGGACAGGGCTTTGCAGGGGCTTTTTTGTACGGGCTGTGCTTGTGGTGCCCAGTGTAATGGTTGCACTTACCTAGAGCTCCCCAGAGCACCTCCGAGATTGTACAGCTACTTTCTGCAGCCACTTCCTGGTCCATCTCTTGCTGGATGTGGTGTCTCTTAAGTGACTGCTAATTTGCAACAGCAAATAAGTGGTCAGTGTTGTGTGGGCCAGAACCTAAGTGGACACACGTGAGATCCCAGTGGAGATGGTGTTCTCCGAAATGCTCTCTACAGAAGTCTGCAGCCCTGCCAAACTCTTCAGTTGCAGTTATAAACCATTCTAGTCCTGAAGCCCTCGGGTGAGTGCCCTTCCCAGGTGGCCCAGCAGGGATGTCCTTGCTGGGCAGTGTATGCCCACGGGGAGTTGGTACCCTCGTGGTGCTGACATGTAGGCAGGGCAGAGCCCGGCTGTGCTCAGGCTGGCACTGGGTGGGCAGTGGGTGCCAGCAGTCCCTCAGTGGTGGGGAGGAGAGCCAAGGGCTGGTATGGGCAGAGGGGCTCCGTGACAGGCAGGAGCTGCATGTTGCATCTGACTCTGGTTTAAAAAGTAAACCACAGTGCAGAAAAGACTAGCATCTGATGTCCCATGCAAAGATGTTCCTGACCCTAGAGGAGACGGGAACTAAGTTACTCCCTTCTGATTGCCATCCTTGCTGGAAACACAGAGTGTGGGATCAAAAAAGCACTTCTGCCCCATGGCATTCCTCCCTCTGCCCCATGTTTTTCCTACTGGTTTAATTAAGCACTAATGCGCCCGTGGCAGCACTGGGCAGCAGTATCCAGGCTCCCTGGCAGGAGACCATGAGGAGGTCAGAGACCAAGTAGCTCTTCATTGTGATGAGAGTGGGTTATTGCCTCGTAAAGTGCTGCGGCTGTCCTGATACCACCAATGCTATTCCTCTCTTAAGGTCCCTGTGTGACAGCATCTGTGTGACGAGGTCATTGGGATGGGAATTTATTTCCTTTTGTCCACAGAGCTGGACTCCTGCCTTTGGGATAATAGTAAGGAGAAAGGAGAGTGGTACACAGTTGTGTTTCTGCTTCCAGCCTCCTCTCAGGAGCTGACAGCAAACTTTCTCCAGCTGAGATGGCTGCAGTAATTGGGGAGAAGATGTGGAAATGAGATCCATGGGCCCTAGAGCTTCTACTGAAGCTGTTTGGGATGTGCCCTGTTCCCAGTGATTAAGGCAGTGTGGAAACAGGGCTGAGAA